TGCAACTAACATAAAAAATATATAGAGAGAGAGTTTTATTCAAACTCTTATTAGTTTAATCACTACATAATTAAAATTATAAGTAAATGAACAAGTATACATTATGTTGATAATAAAAAAGGGACTATCATGCATTCTCGAAATTTTGCACTCAAGTAATTGTCTTCTCAATCCACAAAATTAAGATTTTAATGTTATTACACCATAAATTCATAATATAACACAAATATTTCGACTGTCAATCAAGGTTGTCTACTTTATTTGAGTAAGAACCAACTCATCAAATCATTACTGCATATATATTGAAATTCCTGCATGCTTCCAAGAGTCAATCTTGAAATTGGGATTTCAAGAATCAGTTTTGAACATCTGCACAAAGAGTTTGTATAGAGAGTAAGCTTATAATGTATATTAATTAAAGTTGTTTATTTATGGGATTAATTCAACCAATTGACGTAAAAAGACATCTCACCGTGTAGCTTCACATGGCTTGCCAAAGTTAATCCAGACAATCGATTCATATCTCCAAAACAATATCTGAAATCAAGAGAATTTGATTTTATTACAAATTTATAATCAGCAATGTTCATGTGATATAAGTATACATGTAATGGTTAAAAATAAAGTAAAAAAGAAATTTAAAAATTTTAAAGCTCACATTCGGAATCAGTTTTGACCCATGTACTTCCATCATGAACCTTATAATGATCTATTTTCTCATACTGATTATCAGCAGATTTGAGCATGTTTGTGCTCTCCAGGTACTTGGCAGAAATCCTTTTAGTAGAAGCAGAACTTTGCGGATATATCTTGTTATTAAGAATTGCCCTCAACATCTACACATAAGTCACATATGCAAATTAAAATTATTAATAAAATCTTTGTTTCAATGGACCCTTCGACTCTAATTATAACCATAAGAGGTATTGTTAATATCACTAATATTCTACTTTTTATTTTATTAAATTATTTCTTTGGCCCACTAAATTTTTAAAAATACATTTTTTTTCAATTTTACCCTTATCATTCTTGTTTTTTTGATGAGTGGGTAAAGAAGTATTTTAATAAAACAAAAACTAGAATATTGGTGGACTTAACAATATCTTTGATGATCATAATCAGATTAAATTTTTATTTTTATTAAGTAAGAGATTTTAAATTTATATCATACAACATACATGATGAAAATGAGACAATGCAATTATAAAACGATAGGAAAGTGTTACCCTTTCCATCCGCGATTGATTGGAGATTAGATCCCTCGGGCTTGGCATGGGCGCTGGTGAAAATCCATTCCTACAAACAAGCATCTTCTTAAGAAGAAAAGTTATTGACGTTTTGCCAATGGAACTTTTAGTGTGATCCAAACAGATATCTTTCCCTCTATTGAAAACTACACTTTCCCCAGCTGCTTCTGCCTGCAATATCAAGCTCAGTTCCTTCTGTATTTTTACTGCTTCTTCTGGCTTAAGGTCCTGCAGATGATCTCGTGGAGAAGGTGGATTTTGGTGGAGATTATTGGTTTCTTCTTTCAGTTTATTGTTCCCAAATGTTCCTATTGCTAGTAGCAGTCCTTGAGGCCACTCACTCAATTCTTCCTTGCATTGTTCTTGAATATGATCTAAATACAAGCAAAAATTAATCCATTTGATGCATTTAAACCCACAAAATGTAATGAAATAACATCACTAGTACTTACTATTTTCGGGAACCGAATCAGATTTCTTGCTCCCCTGTCCTCCATTGAGTTTGTCTTGCATCCAACTTAGTATCTGCAATATTCAGACCAAACATAAAACCTTAGTTATTGCTCTGTATTAAACAAGACATACTGGACTCTATTTAGTTTCTTACTAACCCCCATTTGGTGGGATGATGAAGGGAATTTTGACAGACAGCAGGAACTCAGACTGATGCCAGATGTGGTGAGGATGGGCTAACAGAAGTGCAACCACCGCAAGCCAAGTGAAAACTTAGCTGCATTGGGAGTTAAATAGCGTGGAATTTCCACACACAAGCTGTTTTTGTTTCTTTCTCTACTTGTTCAAGTTCCCAAACAGAGAACTTTTGAATCTTTTGATTTTTTCCTCTAACTTCTATATATTTGTCTTTTTATTCTGTTTCTCTTCCTTTCCAATCAACCTCATTACTTAGGAAAAATGAAAATATGTATCTACCTGTTTAGGACAAATAACATCCATCATTGCCTAAACAGCCAATATAATTCATTTTATGGCTAGCTATGCCTAGTAAATCTCCAACCAAGGTAATCGTGATGCGAAGTTAAGGCCTAAAGCACGAGAGAAACATATACTTTAAATCTAACCAATATTCGACAATTTCTAATGACACAACCTACAATGCTGACCACTAAATCTGTGCAAGTTTTTAAGCCTTTTAAGGTAGAGAGTTCATGCCTATTCTTGGAAATCCTTCGTTGGAGTCATGAGATTTTTCCCGAATTGGCAAGTATCCCACATTCATTGTCGTCATGGATTAACCTACAACATGTGATTGAGACATATGACCCCTTCTTGTTGGTCCCCCCACATGAACAAGGGTATTCCTCTTCCAATCAAATCCGACACTATATGAACAATGACCCCTTCTCAGTTATTCTTATACCTCGATTAAGTCACCAATCACTCCAATTGGAAAACAAAGTGAGATTAATTAGTTTGATTTTCCCATTGTTTTCTTTTATCTTTTTCCTATCTCATCCCTTAACTTAGCTCGCTTATATATCTATATAACTTAAACTAATGACTTCTAATTTTCATTGGAAGTTCAATAAAAAAAATTATTATTAAATTACTTAAGTTTTTGACAACTTTACATATTATTTTGAATGCTTCAGTCCTGATATATATAGCAGTATAATAAAAATACTCTTAGTTAAGCAGTCTTAACATCTAAAATGTATCACAAAATTTCTTTGTGATAAAGTATATGCTAAATATCAAACTAATTTCTCAATCAACATATAGAATTAGAAAGTTTGAAAGAAATGCATTTTTCACTTTGTTTTTGAACTTTTTCCCCCAAAATTATTGAAATTGCAATCCTATTTAAAATTGGAAGCGAAATATATCATAAATCATAACTTAGATTGTCAGATTTTACATCATAAGATTTTTATATGTTTGTGATTGTATGAATTATGTAAATAACTTAAAATAAGCATTAATAAAGTATAAATTAAGGATTTTTAAATTCATCAAACGAGTTCAAAGTAATTATAGAATAACTTTTACTTTCTACCATAAATAGCTAATATGATTAGTTGATTAGCATATACAAAAGGGATAAAATTTGATTTTCCCTTCATCTCGAGCTCAACTCATACAATTACTTTATGATTTTGCTATATATCCAATTGAAAACCTCTTGATGCATGTCATTCCCAATTTCCCACGTACTTATAAAGGAAAATGTGTTAAAAGTTGTTTGGGGGCTACACTATACATATTCAATTCTCATAGGGCTCAAACTTGAAACTCCACCCTGTTCAGGAGGCATACAACTTAGTGGAGCGATATTAAATGGTTCATTACACGTTTCGACATCGCATTAGAATCAAAAGACTAGTGTAATAGTTTCGTAGGTTTTCACATATATAAGCCAATCTTTCCTTCTCTATTTCTTCTTTAATGTGAGATCTTAACTCTTCACACTCACAAGGGAAACATATTACTTCAACACTCCCCCTTTCCCTCTTTCACTTGTGAATGCGGGTGAGAGTTCATCCATTTTTTTTTACATA